CCGGCATAACTGTAGAATTTGGAGCGATACAAACCCACATGTATTTCGAGAAGCTCACACTCAACATCCATAAAAGATAAACGTTTGGGTAGGAATTTTGGGAGACCACCTAATTGGACCTCTGTTTATTCCTGGTAATTTAACTGGCGAACGTTATCTTGAAATGCTGAAAAATGCGATTGATCCGTTAATAACTGAACAATTAGAAAACGATCTTCTACTACTCGAACAACAATTGCATTTCCAACAAGACGGAGCTCCTCCGCACTACGCCGCACCAGTTCGCCAATACCTCAATTTGCAATATCCCGGTCGTTGGATTGGAAGAAGAGGTCCTATGGAGTGGCCTGCCCGATCTCCTGACCTGAACCCTCTGGACTTCTTCTTGTGGGGACATCTCACGTACAAGATTTTTGTGACTCACCCTGAAAATTTGGACGAACTACGCCAAAGAATTGTGAATGAGTGCCGTCAAATGACTCCAATTATGCTGAACCATGTCAGAGATGGTTTTCAGTCAAGATTTCATTATTGTATGGAAGTCAATGGAGGACAATTTGAATATTTGATTTGAACACGCAGATTTGATTTCTTTGATTTCAATCATGATGATAAAACAATTCAATTTTTTCAAGATTTTATTTTTTGAAGATTGTTTAAGTTTGTAAAATTGAATATTTGATTTGAACACGCAGATTTGATTTTTTTGATTTCAATCATGATGATAAAACAATTCAATTTTTTCAAGATTTTATTTTTTGAAGATTGTTTAAGTTTGTAAAAAGGGCCTAATAAAAATGGGCTTGTACATGTAAAAATAACCAAATTATTCAAAGTGGCTCAATCGAGCTGCAAAATAGATTTTTGGCGAAAACGGTTCATCAAATTTACGTTTTTCATACACCGTTGTAAAAAGGCTTCCAAGACCTTTGAAATAAAGTATCACTCAACCCCTCTCTCCTATACAAGTTTGAGGGGTTGAAGAGCCCCCTATTAGGGAGTTGCTCGTTCAAGCCTAAAATATACGTCAAAAGATGTTCCCCTAATAAAATCATTCAACGTGTTTCGTGAAATTTTTCCATTCTCTATGGGATAAGAAATATACGGGGTGACTCGTCTGAGAAGGAACACCCATATCAAACTCATATTTTGCTCATTTTTTACAACTTGCATAATAATCATTCTATTCTTTATGGTTAATTCCGTAGTTGAATATCATTCATTCCAATGACTTCTAACAATGTCGCTTTTCTTGATAACAAATTATGTAAAATTTGTGAAAAATCCTTTGAAATAACGAAAGGTCTCAAAATTCATTATGGTAGAGTTCATAAAATTACGAATACAAAATCTTGTTTGAATGAATCAGCTTTCACACGAGCTGTCGATTCTGTTCTGTTGCCTCATTCTTATAAAGATGTGTCATTCAATACTACGTTTCATGAAAAATTGTTCTCATTGAAACGATCCAGTCACATTATAAAAAGGACTCCTATATCTGCTAGAAATTGCTCTGTCTCTGCCCTTTGCGAAATTATAGACGAGTGTTTACATATAAACTCTCCAACAAGCTGGGAAAACTTGTTAACTTTTCCTTATACTTTGTTCTCCATCCCATCAAGATCTTCAGATGATGTGCTGCAGATTTTTCCGCAGCTGACAAAGCAAATGCGCCACGGGAATCAATAAAGCCATCCCGGAGCGCCAATTAATTTTTGTTGTTTTATAATTTCATGATTTGTATTGAGCTATTTATAATTTCAATTTATTTAGACCATTAACAAACTTTGTAAGCAATGAAGATATGCCTTTCAATACAAACATTTACTATTGAGTATTGATATTGAGGTGAAGACATTAATTTTTCTCTCATCAGCCGCCAGTTTTCTCTCATTGATCACATACCATTTCACTTTTCCAACCAATGTTTCGAATGAAATGCTATGCTTTTTAAAGATAAAATGAATCTAATGGGACAAAAATTTGCTTATGTTACAGATTCTCTAAGAGTGCGAAGTGATTTGGAAAAATAATGAATCAATTCATAATTTGAAAAATGATTTGGAAAAATGATGAATCTATTCATAATTTGGTAGAGATATGTTCTAGGTTTGTTATGCTGTTATCGGTGTGCGCAAATTGAGATAATGTCAATATTATGACTATACCAATTACTTCCAGTTCCATTAATTTATCGTTAAAACATTTAATGTTTTTCAGGAAAATATTTGTTTGAAAATTGTTCTTATAGTAAAATTGAGTTTCACTATTCGGACTAACAAAAAATAACCCAAATATTTTCATTGCACTTGTCATCGTTTCTGCCTCTACTGAAGCAAAATAAAAAAATCATATCATTTTGAAGGAATAGTTTGAATTTTCATTACTTCTTATTATCATAAATCGTAGTTTATTGTTTTTAAGGTTCAAACCGATTCTATATAGCGTTCAGTTTTCTTCTTTCTATTTTTTCTCAACAATAGAAATTGAAAGGGTGGTTCCACAATGCCTTAAGAATCAGTGGGAACAATGAAGGCCTCTGCAAAATAATGTATCTTCTCATGATTGTGAACTTTGGACTACGTGTCTTGTGTGAATGAAAAAAAGTATTGGGAAAAAAGATAGAAAATAGGAATTACTTTATGAATAGATGCATCAAATAAAATTTTACCATGTCTAATAGATAAGTCATTAATGCATGGGGTTGAATGAAGCCTTAGTTCATACTTGAATGGAAAATTGGGAGAAAAATATTATGAAAGTTTCATTAAGTTCAGTACATATGTTTTAAATGCAGACAAAGCAGACAGGCGACTTTTTCAGAAGCCATGAAGTTTATATTTAAAATAATATCGGATAACATCATCTGAAAATAAAGTCCCTGCTTATGATGATTCTAGGACTAAAGCGGCCTACATACATGGGAACCTGGTTCGCCGAACTTGGTTCACACGAACCATGTTCGTCATTTGTTCCCCTGTGTATGGTGTTTAACGAACCAAGATCGCCACAATCCTCCATCGGGTTGGAAAACATTTGTTCGGTTCGCCGACAGGGCGCACCAAGTTCGTTTGTGTGAGGTGGAGGGGAACCCTTGTTTGCCATTTTGATTTTTTATTTTTGCCTCATTGTTGTTTCCGTCGCTATACACTAGCGGATTGTGGTGATGGTGCACAATTTATGAATCCTTCGTTTTTGACGGACTTCATAGAAGCACATAGAGAATTTCCATGTTTATGGAAAGTGAGAAGCGACGAGAACAGGGACAGGATTAAGCGAGGCGAAGCGTTGAACAATCTCTTACTGTTGACTCGCGACACGATTCCCATTGCAGACCTGAGTTTCGTCAAAAGTAGAATGGAGTCACTAAAGCAGAGTTTTCGAAGGGAATATATAATATAAGATATTGAGGTGAGACCACTTCTATCTTTCACGAAGCCACTGTTTGGTCCATTGCGCACTTTTTTCTTCTTTTTTGTATAACCCCCAAAACTCATCTAATACAAAAGTAGCAGCTGCAATCTTCCAAGAACTCATCCCAACTGCTGGAATAAAACTGGTGAAACGGCGAACCATTGTTCACATTCCCCTCCACTGTGTGTAGGAAGTGACGAACCAAGCACTTGGTTCGCGGAACCAATTAGGCCGCTTAACAAAGAAATACTATCTAGAGCAGGGCTCGGCAAGTAGTTTTAGGTGGGAAAAAACAAATATTAATAATAAAGTGCTACATAATATTTTGGTTTCAAATCACATTTTGAATTATAAAAGAAATACAAGACCTCTTATTAATGTGAGACGGTCTTGAGCCAGTTTTTCATAGTTTGGTTCTCGAGAGGAACAGTGGCCAAATTGATAGCTAGTCTTTTACAATTTTCATATTTTTCTGGGACTTGTTTGGCCCAAAATATTCTTCAGTGCATACCGTTCTATACATTTGCAAAGACATATCTTCTTGCAAATCAATTATCACCATTTGAAGTGATGGCTTTGACAGACTGAACAACTTGGCAGCCACATCTGTCCATTTTGCCGCTGCATCAATTTCAAATAGAGATTTGAGAAACGGAGATAGCTTGCATATCTCTGCAAAGTCTTGGAATCTTGTAGCAAATTCGTTCTTAAGATCGGCCAGAAATTTTTCTAACTCTGCAATGTCTTCTTCAGAGGTCTCTTTTTCAAAGATATCCAGCTCACGACAAAAAGCAGACACGCTTTGTATCAGATCACTTATTAATTTTCCATTTCCTTGTAACTCTGTATTGAGCGCATTCAAATATTTTAGAATATCTTTCAGAAAATCCACAACTAGCATATTGCGCTCGTTTTTTATAAACTCAAAGTACTTTCTGGCTACCTGCGTATCCAAGTTTTGCAAGAAGAATCACATTCAGAAAGGAACTCTTTGAAATGTCGGTGCTGAAGAGCAGAATGGGATCTCATAAAATTAATCAACTTGACCAAGTTGTCCATCACTCCTTTGAGTGTAGCATTAAGTTTTCCACAAAGGGCATTGACATTTGTTCATCGTCAACAATGTCACATGATTCATCAAGTGCTATGG